ACCAGAAGAAAGCTAGTGGCAGAAGAGAGAAAAGAGGGGACATTGGGTAGAGCTGGCTCTATTTTCTGGCCCTGGGACTAAAGCAAGAGTTGATCTCCCTAAATTAAGACTCCTGATAGACCCGTTGTACCTTGACAGGAGGAACTGAGAGAGCATGTGGAAGCAATCAAATATCAAGTCAAGATATCACCTGATGGGAGGCCCATGTGAAGCTTGATATGCTGGAACTTCCTTATGGGAAAGTGGCTACCAGAAAAGAGATGAGCGCCGGCCTGAGGAAAACCACCCCGACTGGGGAAGTACATTTTAAAATGTGGGCCTGATGGAAGCTCTCAAAGTGCTTTAGCAAACAGGGCATCTATCTTTCAAACTCCACCTGGGAAATGCCTCTACAGCCATGTTCCTACCTGATAGCTCCCAAACTAGTGGCTCTCAAAGCGAGGTTCCCAGCAGCATCAGCATCACTGGAGAAGTTGTTAAAAATGCAAAATCTCTTGCTCCTCCCCCAAGATCTACAGAATTAGAAACTCTGAGGGGCAGGGCCCAGTAACCTGAGGTTTAACAAGCCCTCCATATGATTCAAATACATGTTCAAGTTTGGCCTAAACTATGCAGAAAAATGTCTTTTTTTCTTAAGTGGAAGACAAGGGTCTCATGAGTATGGAAATATTGTTAATTGAGAAATTAATACTTGAAATTGAAAAGCAAAAGGCATAAAAATTGCACAGTTTATACAGCAATTAGAAACATCAAAGTTACTGAATGATGGTTGTAATGGGAATATAGAGGGATTTTTTGAAAGTGAATTTTGGGAAAGTAAAAATGTACCATCTGCAGATGTAGGACAATTACTCCCTATGTGGTGAGGGCACTAAGAAAGTGTGTCCTATGAAGTAGCAGAAGTGCTTTCATCACGCAATAAGGTGGAATCTGGTGCTGCATCAGCTTGTCCTGATGAGCAATATTAAGTGTTTCCCATTCCTCTCTTGATTATATTTGATACTGTTCTCTGGGGAGTGTGAGACTGGACCAATATCTACAGATCTAGTGGGATGAGAGTGATTTCTCAGTGGAATTCATAATAAAAAATGATTTCTGTTTTCTGGACTAGCAGCTTCTCCATCATCCTAACTGCTGGCCTTTCACTCAATATCTGGGCTGGATTAATTCCCAGAGAATGGAGTCATTTTCCTGATGGAAATTCTTAGCACTGATTGAAGGAGGAGATTAGTGGGGTTTTCATTTTTGTCCTGATTTAATTTGAAAAATCAAAGGTATCCTGGAGACATTGTTTCTCAATTTTTCTTTCATGTTTTTTAACCTGAATTTAACCTTTGGATCTCATTCTATTTGCTTTGTCATTCTCTTTCAATGAATATGCATTGGTATATGTTAACTAAACACCTACTGTGTACAGGATAGAGTGCTAGATGACTTCACAAACCTTTATTTTCATCCCATCTTCTTCAACATTTGAAAGAGAATAAACTGTAAAATATCTCTCTCCTCACTCCCTTGCCACTATTTTTCCTGGTGTTGGCTTTGCCTATTTATGTTGCTTTTCAAGTGAAGAATTTGGGATTCCCCATACTCTAAGCCATTTATAAAAAAAACCAGATAATTATTTGAAAGCACAGAGAAACACAAATATCCTTTCACTGTGGCATTGCAACCTTGACCTATGACTTTCCCAGATTCATGGTTTCTGTTGGTTATTTTTTTGTCCAAGAAGAGGGGTGGGAGTGAGTTCTGCAAAATAACGGATAACTGCTTCCACTCTTTATTGTTCTACTTCGCAGAGGGCAGAATATACCTCTTATATTTGTGGAAGATACATCGGGCACTTTCAGCCCTTGAAGATGTGGATTGTACCTACCAGGATTCTGATCAGCTGTCCTTCACCAAGGTACCTGAGTCACAGTAGCAGTAAAAAGTGGCACTCCAGAAAAAGAAAAGGCATTCCTCCAAGCTGCAATGCAGAGGTGTCCATACTGTAAACATAAGCAGACTCTGTCTCCCACCTGAGAAACAGGGTGCATAAATTCCCACATTCATATTGTATCAAATATAGAGGGAAATGGACCACTGAAACCTGTGTCAAACAGAAACTGAGATTGTAGTGGTTTCCAAAATTTGGGAAGCAGAACATCTGTAACTACAAATACAACTTCTTTTTAGCATCACCGGAATCATTTCTTAAAGGAATCTTTAAGAGGTAGGTAATGATATGAACATCAATTATAAAGAATTCAGGGCTGTGCGCGGTGGCTTGCACCTATAATCCCAGCACCTTGGGAGGCTGATGCTGGTGGATCACAAGGTCAGGAGTTCAAGACCAGCCTAGCCAACATGGTGAAACCCAATCTCTACTAAAAATACAACAAATTAGCCAGGCATGATGGCATACATCTGTAGTTCCAGCTACTGGGAAGGCTGAGGCACAAGAATTGGCTGAACCTGGGAGGCGGATGTTGCAATGAGCCTAGATCATGCCACTGTACTACAGCCTGGGTTACAGAGTGAGACTCCCTCTCAGAAAGAAAAAAAAAAAGAATTCAGGGCAGGAAGTTGTATGATTGTTTGGGAAGATGCACTTGCTCTCCAATCATAGTCTTCAAATTCCTAGCAGTCTATGTTTGTATTTTTCTCTTTTTTTCTGGAGACAGACTTTTGCTCTGTCACCCAGGCTGGAGTGCAGTGGTACCATCTCTGCTCACTGCAACCTCTACCTTCCAGGTCCAAGAGACTCTCTTGCCTTAGCCCCAAGTAGCTGGGATTATAGGTGTGTGCTACCACACTCAGCTAAGTTTCTGTATTTTTAGTAGAGACGAGGTTTTACCATGTTAGCCAGCATAGTCTCAAACTCCTGACCTCAAGTGATCTGTCCGACTCAGCCTCCCAAAAATGCTGGGATTAACAACATGAGTCACTACACCCAGCCTGTATTTCTCTTTAACAAGGTAACTCCATGTCTTTCCTTCTTCAAGTTAATAGGCCCTTGAGAACTCATTTCTGGGTGTGAGTTAAGTGGCTCTGCAGTATACTGATAGGACACAGAGACTGGAGTCAGGTTTATCTGGTTGGAATCCCCTCTGCCTCTGCTTTGTAGCTGTGGCACCTCAGCAAATTGTTACCTTTTCTGAGCTTTAGCTTCCCCACATGTTGCTGTAGGATGACATATGATAATATACGTAAAAAATTAGCACAGCACCTGGCCAAAAGGCCCAGTAAGTATAATATATGATTTATATTTGTTATCAATTAAATTCCTAAAGGAATTTTAGTTGCGTTTATTTCACCCATTTTTCTTTGTTGCGCTCAATCTAATCGAACAGTTTTGTTTGAGGGGGGCTGTATTTCTCCCTCCTCATTTCTTTTCATCACTCACCTCAGCCTGAGAAAAAGCGATCCTGAAACAACCATGGAAGTGAAGTCTGCTTTGTGTTCCTCTGTTGGGTAAAGCCTGGATCACCAGTCACGCGGTGAGTGTTTAGCAGGCTGCTGGCTTCTGCCCACAATAAAGAGGGATCTCTGAAAGTTTAGATATTTAAAAAAAGAGAAGCAAAAGGGCAGTTACTGGAGCTCGAGGGTGTGTATGAATGGCACATTTGCCTGCCCCCACTGTCCCTAGGGCTGCCTCTCTTTCCAGGGCCTCAAGTTGGCCCAGGGTTTCTGGCCTTCTACACGTCTTGTTTTTCTGGGTCATGAACTGGCAGGGAACATGCAACACTGTGCCCTTAGCATTCAGGTGTTTCACAAACACAATGCTTCTCTCTTGCCCTCATCAGAGTCAGCTGTCTCCAGCATACACAGAAGGACGTGCAGAGCCTCTGTATGCATGTAATATGGTTCACCAGAAGAGGTAACAAGAGGGCAGGGCCTCCTCCTAGGAGCCAGCTCCAGTAGCAATATGTAAATGACTTCTTGGAATTGCCAGGGTGGCCTGGTGAGTCTGGAAGATCACCTTGCTAGTGGGCCCAATGCCAGCCTGACAGATGGCCTGGGCTGCTTGCAGCACAACAGTTTTAGACCATCAGGTGTGTTCCCTGAAGGCAGGTGACCCAGCCAGGACTGTCAGGGAGGCTGTCCAGGGGGACAACTCAGGCTGCAACATCATTTCCCCAGCTCTGGCTACCTCCTCTTTCACTCTAACTTGCAGTGCTCTCTGCAAATAGGGAAGACCAGGTCTCTCTTTCACCCTTAGAGAAAACTCTGGGTCACATAATTTTTGTTGATATCCAGTCTGTTCTCTACATGACAGCCCCTCACGGAAGTGACCAAGTGTTTCCATCAAAGGAACCAGCGATTGCAAAGTTTAAAAGGATAATAAAATAGTAAAGTCTATTTGGGGCCCTAGTTTAGAAAAACCCAGTGATCTCTATAAAGTATTAAGAAAATACTGAATTTTCAAATTGTATGATTTCATGTCCTCTAAGACCACAGACCTCTTGGCATTTTCTTTCTTACTTTTTTTTAAAGCACGAATCTTTTTTTATGAGTTAGAAAGTAAACATATAACATTTTCTTTCACTTACACTCACAATTTTAAAAGCCTAGGGCAAGTTAATGTTTCTGAATTCAGCCTGTGGATTTGAGATAAGGAGTCTAGGAGAGAAGCCTTTTAACTCAGAATCTGCGGCTATTGTTCAACTAATGTAAAGTGTCTGGTTACTGGGCATGTTGCATAATGAACCGCAGTGCAAGCCAAACGTTTTCAGTGCTGACAGTGAGCTCCTTGATAACAATGAAGAGTGAGGTAATTGGTTAAATTTTTTTAGAAGTCCCCTAAAACAGTCTTCTCAAGACTGAATGAATCAACACTTTCGAGCTCAGACCGCGACTGAGGGTAGTCTGTGTGTGCTCATGATGATAAGAAATCTAGAAGGAAACTGAAAAAACCACATCTCCTGCCCTGTTTAAGAACTAGAAAAAGTGTCAGAAGAATTAAAATTAAGCCTCATGAGAATCTGTGGGTATGGAAAGTCACCAGCTAGCTAATATTAACATAGCTTGCAACAGAATACTGTTGCTAGAAATAGGACAGTCGCATCACTACCACTAGGCAATTTGCATTCTGTGGACCAGCCCCTGAATTCCTCCTGGCTCCTATTGCCCTTTGGGCGTTGCATTTCTGGACGCTTCTAGACAGTGTTCATACTTGGCTGTCTGGTTTCACCAGGAACTCTACCCAAAAGAGGAAATAGCAAGGAGAAGAACATTTGCTTTGTTTGTAGGAGGGAAGTGGTCGAGCTACAAACAAATCTTTAGGCATCTGAGGAATTGCTAAGTTTCTAATTTCATATGGTTGCTGACAAGGAGGTGCAGACGAGGACCCTCTTGCTTTCCTCACTATGGATAGTCTGTTGCCTCCATCTAGATTCTCTTATTTTAAAAAATATCCTCTCCATACAATTAGGAGATATTTATCGACGCTCAGAAACCAAAGAGCTGAAGAACAGGTATCATTTTGTTTATATTATCTTTGAAATTAATGGATGCTTGTTCCTTGTTGCTTTTTGCGTCGCTTAGTGATTTCATTTGTGCTGGTTTACATGTTTAAAGGCACAGGTCAGATCCTGCTTGTGGCTGTTCAGACTTGGCAATCAGAAAGCAAGCAGACTTGTGAGAATTCATTTAAACTTGGAACATTTAGATCCTGAGATTAAGCAGAGTTCTGTAATGAAGCCACATGCCTTTCTTTCTTTTAAAGAGCTAAACTACTCTATCAGAGTTCAATTTTGGATTCTTTGCTCATTTTCCAATGCCTCAGATACAAAATGTGAAACTATTAATATCTCAACAAAGAAAGTATTAGGCCCTAGAAATACACTTGTCTTCTTGTATTTATGGTTATGTTTATATAGCCAGAATTTGCAAAACAAAAACATTTTATAAACTATGATAACCTTAAATAGATCATTAACAAGCTGTAAAGATCATTCAGAAGCAATTGGTCGTTTTTGTGTGTGTAAAAGGTAGGAGGTAGAGCATTGCCATTTTCAATCTTTTTAGCCAATCAAAAGCTATGATTTCTAGGAGGAGACACTATCGCTTGGGAATATAAGCATTTAAAAAACTTAAAATGTCTGATTTAAAATCTCATTTAAAATCATGCACTCATTTTTATGGCATGAGGTTTGTATCATTTTATTCCTTTAGTCTCTGAAAAAGACATTTCTAAAAATGATTTTTATGAATTTTACCAAATTGTGAGAAGAAATAGCAATATCTGATCCATTTAAATCTAGTGGTTCCTTTAGAAAGAAGTGTGGCGGTGGTACACAATGTGAAGGACAAATGTATAGCTATATACCCAAGACCCAGCAGTCAGAAATTGCTCGTGCATTGTGGTTGTAACTGTAACTGCAAAACTGTGCAGAGGATATCACCAGTGTCCTGTATTTTTTCATCCTAAGATGACCCACTTAATAAAACACTTCCAGGAAATACAAGATAGGTTTAGCAGTCAGAAAATCCTCTGACAGGTTTCCCAAAAAGGCAATGCATAATTTGGAAAATAAAAATTATTGCTACTGTTTGAGGGGAAACTGCTTGTATGCCCTGCTTTAATAGTTTTCCAAGGGCCAGGAATTCAAACAGACTCTGTTCCCTAAGGGAGGTGGGCTGGTCCAGTTTATCTCTTACTTAGGCAAGGTGTCACCATTAAAAGAAAAACCTCTTGGTTTCCGAGTCTCAGCCTGTACTTGCTTTTGAAGTAGAAAGCTAGAGAACCAAGCGGTAGGGCTCTGAGTTTTTGTTTACCAAATTTGCAATCTTCACAGGCTTCTTCAGGCCTCATTTGTTATGGGATGAAGAGAGGTGACAGAAAGGATGGGACCAAAACTGTGCAATGTGAATTGAGTGATTTTTTTCCCTTTTCTCAGTGTTGTAAGTTTTCAGAGATGTGGCTCTATTGCTTGTATAGTTCTATGGTTTTTTGTTTTTAGTTTATTTAAGAGGTGTTGCAAAGTGCATTCAGAAGACCTTTATTATTTAACATAAAACCTCTAACTTGGACTGGGTGGGTCCCCTCCCCACTTTGCAACCATTTGTGACAACCTAGGAACAGCTGGGAGTGAGCATTATGCTGAGTTCTTAATTTCTTAATTGAAAAACTAAGAGAAATAATATATTTAATTTCTTTTTCAAGTCAATTACAGCTCTGCAGACCTAATGTCTCACAAAATTAGAGAAATTAGGTCAGAGTCAATCATAACTAACCTTGAAAGCTTGTTGGGAAGTTATAAAGGAGGTTAATAATGTCTGCAATCTTATGACCTGCGTATTTGTTGCCTCTAATCCTTTACATTCTTGTAAAAACTAATCCTTAATATAAAGGTGAAGGGATTGAGACTTAGAGCCCTTAAGAGTCCTTGCCCATGCAGCTAGAAGGGACCAGAGGAAGATGTGAATTTCTATCACATGGCTTTCAATTTTATCCATTTTACCATGCTTCATCCCTGAACAATCTAGTAATAGCAAAATATCACCCTGCTAACTTTTCTCCTTGAGAATATTTTCTTATGTTCACATACCACTGTCATATTTCTTACTGAATTTACCATGTCTGTATGATTAACTCCTCAATATTTTTCTATATTTATACTTAAATCATATTATTAGAGTTTATTTAGAAAAAAATTTCCTATCATGACTGTAAATGGAAAACCATTGTCATCACCCATAAGTAAAGCAAAATAGTATTAAATTCTAGGTAGATACTATTGCCTTAAAACCTCCAAGCCTGAAACCTGCTCATTTGTTAATAAGGAAGATTAGCTTTTGAGAGAGAGGTTAGAGTATCCTAGGAACCAAATCAGAAAGTTTCCTGGGTGAGGATGGAAGGGAATTAAAAGGATGGAAGGGAATTAAAATTAAAAGATCATTTTCTCAATCCCAAGTGATTCAGTGTTAGTGTCTGCAGTGTTAGTGAATGTAGTGTCTGCAAGCCACTTAAAATCTTTCACCTAACACTGCTAGGTACCAACAGTGTTGAGTTCTACATATTTGGGGAATATCCCAGAATACCATCTGCTTCTTTACTTCTGCACATTCAAATGCACTCCCTCCTCTAGCCTAGAATTCTCTCCTTTACTTAGCACATGCCCACCTGGAGGTCTCCTGTACAATCTTCAAGACTCGGATTAAATGGGCTTTCTCCAGGGCTGCTGGGAGAATGAAGTCTTCAGTTTCCAAGATATTTTGTCTGCTTCAGATAAGGCCATTGCTATATTCTGTGTATTAAATCGTGTGGTTTTATGTAAATATATGTTTACCCATGCGTAGCTGACACTGGATGTCATCTTGTTTTTTGGTTCCTCAAGGCTTACCTGGAGCCTGGCAAATACTGGTATAAAGGTGACCCATACAACAGGTAGAGGGTATACATTGGATTGTCTGTGACACACACCTTCTTTGTTGCCTTTACTCATCCCTTGCCCGGACCTAGAAAGTCCCCACACCCCTTTTCTGTCATCCAAATTGTAATCATTGTTATACACACCCTGTTCATGTATGCTTTCTTGGTTAAAGCTGCTCCTAGTGCTCTTCTCCTCCCACTTGGTGTCATACAGACAAGAAGATTTGACTTGAGGGTTGATTCGTTTGGTAGTGGTGGTGGTAGTGTTATTCCTGTGATGCAGCAATCAATAGGTTGGTAGGTTATTTATCATACTGAGAACAAATATTACATCCTTTGCTTCCCTAGGTTCTCTTGTAGCAAGTGTTTCACAAAGCCAAATCCCTACATAGGTAGAAGATTAAGACCATTAATTAAGGTCTCAATCTTAATTAAGGTTGGGAACGTTTGTTAACATTTCTCTCAGAATTATTCAAATGGTGTAGTAGTAATGGTGGTGTTGGGGATGGTAGCGGGCAGCCAGAGCCCAAATGGAGTCTCAGGTGAGTTTGAGTAGGTTTGCTGAATGCATGCAGTTATTTTATTTTGATCGAGGGCAACATCCAGCGTCTGGCACAGATGTTGGTGTCTAATTTATGAGGAATCAGCAAGACTTACAGACAGTGTTCTCCTGAGTACTAGAGACTTGGCAGCCTGATCTGTGGCTCAGGTGACCAAGCAGGACACTAGTGTGGAAAGGAGAATTTGCTCCACTTCTGAGTTGACTGTAGTCTAGCTTTAGCCTAGGGATGCCTGCCAAGAACCGAGTGCCCCTTGAACCCCTGGGTAGTACTGCTTTTAGGGGCTAGCACTGTTGGTCTGCATATGGGTGCTAGCACCAAACTATGTGAGAAGACAATTTGTGAGCTCATGTGGGACAGCCTGTTATCTCTCCCTGTGTGAGTTCCTCTATTCCCATGGTTTCAAACCCCTATTTGCTGACAACTCCCAAATGTTTATATCCAGAGCACTTCAGTCTTGCATCCAATTGTCTACTTTATATCTTCACCTGAATATATTGTGAATGTTGCAGAGTGATGTGTTCAACGAGAACTCCACAAGCTGGATCCTCAAACCTGCCCCTCCCCAGGTTTTTCCATCAATCAACACAAAAGCTCAAACCAGAAACCTGGGATTCACCTTGGCACCTATCTTTTGCCCTTTCTCCCCGTGCCTTCTCTTCCTATTCCTTTAGTGAGACTTCCAAAATAGTTATTGAATTCTCCATCTTCACCCTTCCAATCCTGCCAACCATCGTCTCTTACTTGAACTATTGCAGTAGTATTCCAATTCATGTCTCCGTCTTCACTCTCATTACCCTACAGTCTGTGTTGCCTGTAGCAGTCAGAATTTTCTGCTTATATGAAAATCTTATTTTAGCTCAATGCAGTGAATAGGTTATTTTTTGTTTGCTAGTTTAGTCCCAGTGCTAAGCATAAATCTGGCCCTTAGATGATAAATTAACGTAATTGAATGGATGAAGGGGACTTTGTAAGTATTAGAGAAGCCATGGGGCTGGAGGGTTCAGGGGGCTGGGACATTGCTGTGCAGGTGAGGGTAAGAGATGGTGATAATAGGTTTATTATTCTTAGTAAGCAGAGGCTATTGAGATTTACAGAAAATCATGTAGAGGAATTTATTTTACAGACATCAAACTAGTGTCATAGGCTAAGAGATTTGCCCAAGTTCATGTGGCTCATTTGTGTCAGTGCTGGGATTAGAATTTGGTTCACTTGACTCTCATTTTCGTGCCTTTTCTGTATGGCTTGTGAACCCCTAAGCAGAGATGTAGAAAAAGGCCATATGAGAAAAAAACTCTACAGGCTGGGTCCAGAGAAAAGGTGATGCCTGAGGGTCAACTAGTCAATAACAAGACCTTTTGATGAGAGACTGAGGCAGAGCAGAGCCTGCTCTTCTGTGCCTTGTCCCTCAACTTAACACTGCCCTTTGGCAGCTTCACCAGTCTCAATCACCCTCTTCTATGTGTCCCTGCAGGAAGAAAGCAAACAAGGGGTCAGAAAACATAGGCAAGCTAATTTAATCTACAAGAATTTGGGATGA